ACGATCGCTCACATTGTGCCCGAAATCCTCACGCCACTGGAAGCTGTCGAGGAGGAGAGCAAGGGTGGTTGGGTTCCCCCGTCCTCAATGTGGATTAGTGATTCATCGGTGTACGAGAAAATGCATGACGTTGCCGAGTAAGCCCGAACCCCCTCTCAAGGACAAGAACAAAGATCTGCCTCACATGGACACGGTACTGATCGTCTTGCAGTGTGATCATAGCCACAGGATTGATTGTTTTAGTTGATGACTGCATCCGACATCGATGGCACTCGAAGCATCATACGGACCCCAGTCAACCGGTTAAATCATCTTTCACAAAAAGCATTGAGTCGATGGGGCCTATGCGACTTATTGAAGAGGTGTTTCACCGGCGGGGGTCCGCCTGATTCTAATGGATATAGAATGATGCACGAAGGAAGTTGGGTCAATTCGTTGCCACGGTGGTCTGACTCGTACGTTAGCGAGCACTTCTATCGTGATGTTGACGTGCAGTGGCGCGAAGCCATCTACCAAAATTTTCACAATGTTGGATGAATCTGGATAATGATGCCTAATTTTTTGACAGCCATTTTCAGGCTGGATCCCCTTGCATTTCCATGTATCTGTTCGCTGGCGACGAGGATCCCAGCCCTACCTGCTTGTTAGTTGTTGTTGTCTCTCAAATGTGTAACGGGAGCTCTGCGGCCTGTAGTTATCGCTGCGTTGACACTTGTCGGTCAACTCTGGGTCGGATGACCTCCCTTTCATTTCTTTTTTTGGAAGTATGATCAACGTGTATATGATTGCATGGTTATTTTTGGGATAGCGCTTCCATAGTCTGTCTGAATTGTGATAGGGAAATGACGGATGCATCGATCTCTGATTATTTTGGGTTGAACCAAGTCACTAGCAACGTACAGGAACCATGGTTCATGGTAGCCGTCTGCCTCACTAGCGACCCCCTGGTGGGCCAGTACAGCGCTTAAGATCAAGACGAAGCGCGAATGATTTGCTTAGAACGGGTGAAATGAGGAGCCAGACGAAAAAGGGGGAAGGAGGGGAGGAAAGAGAAAGGAAATCATGGGTTTGATGTTCCGAAGCTCACCATCTTCTCCTTACTATCTACCTACCTTTACTATGTAAGGTACCTTGGACTGCTAAGGTACTTCTACGGAAGGCTGAAATAATTGGACCAGACTTCATCCCGCAACTCAAAAGGAAGTCGTTTTTCTTCACTTCCTTTTCCCATTTGCCCGTTCCTCTCCTTGACCCTATTGGTTAAAATGTTCGAGACGAAGGTAACAGCCGAAAGCTCTTCCAGCTACGACCAGATACCAATTAAGCTTGTCCTGCGGGCGATGCGGGGCAGATCGAGGCTCGTCAATGTCCCTTTTGATACCATCGAATCAAACAGCTTCATGGGCCTTGGGTGAGCTCGTGTGGAAACGATTCAACTTTCCCCGGTGCTATGATAGATGATTGCACACAGCAGTTGATGCAGGTGCTCGACCACTCTGTGGTCCGCGACACTTTCCCGTCCACATTTCTTCGTCTGTAGCAATCGCTGTCATTTAATGTTGTTCGGTAGATGACGGCGATGAACAACATGAAGACGCACGTATGTATGCCCAACACAGTGCCAGAAGAAAGCAACGAATCATGATGGTTCCTTTTCGGCAGGCGGTTTGGGTCAACTTTGAGCCTAATAGATGTCTCTCTTCGCTGGCAAAGCTGTGTTCCATGCAAAAGGTTTGCTTTAACCGCACGAGCTGGATGTTTCATCTGGTGTTGCCTTTTTGGGTTGAGGTTCCTGCCGGGATATCTCCAGCATCCTTGTCTTCTTCTGCTTGTTGTCGCTTCTTACCTGTCTGCAACCCCATGTCCCCATGGCATCTGTTCATGCAGAGCGGCCTGGTTTTTGTCCATTCATTTTCCAGGGCTGACAGGAACGATGTGTTTTAAAAGTCCTCGGTCCAGATTCATAATTGAATCATTGATGAGCTGGCATTGTGGTCTCTGGGCCCGCTTTCGATCTTTACGGGGGCCTTACTGGCTGGTGTGAGCAAATCCTGACTTCAATTCGTCGCTTCTACTCCTATGGAGCCCCTCTCCGCTTTTGGGCAACTAGACCACACCCCTCCACTATCTGGTCATTCCAGAAGGAGGGGCTTCCACCTTCTTGCCCTTGGAGAAGCGTCCATGAGGCGTCTAGATTCTTCATACCCGATAAGAAGCAATGTTTGCTTGAATCTACAGAAGGAAAGAGGAGAGAGAAGGAGACGAGATGTCTGCTGTTCGAGGCTTCGGATCTGTGAACTGGCTTGTGCCACAGCAGTTCCTTTTGCCTCTGCGCCATCCGATCCTTGCCATCAAATGGATCTGGTTCTCGGTGGAGCTCCGTCGCACCTTTTTCTTGGTAATTGGCGCTTCTTCAGGGTGCATTCTCAGTCGGCGTGCGCCGGGCCGTTCCAGCATTGCAGCCTCAAAATGATCCGCATGTACTCCATGCAACTGCCGGCCTTTTGACTGGAGGACCAGGGAGGGGGGAAGAATTTGCTGGCGCTGTAGCTTGTCCCCAGCGACATGCATAAGCCCGACTGTTAGGTTTCATGGTTAGGCTCCGTGTTTGTCACGCCAAAACTGTCTTGCTTGCACAGGGAAATTAAAAAAAAATAAAAGGATTTGGGGTCAAGCATGGCCCACAGTTTATATGACTCCCCGCTTCCCATGTCCATCAGGGCTATTTGAGTGGGAAAGAGAAAATTCAAAAGAGGTATTATTGTCTTATCAAAAGCGATACAAAAACTCTTGGCTCGATTGAATCTCCTGCTTGAGGGTCTTCTTCTTTTATTCATCTTCGCCTTCCAGAAACCGTCTGCATTCCAGCTGGCACTTGCTTGCCTCTTCTCGGGCAAAAGTTCTGCGGAGGGGTCGTTGGCTCTTGATATTCTCAAATCTTTTCACCCTTATAATCTTCTTCAATTTCAGCCCTCATTATTGTGGCTGGCAAGGGACCACGATACCGCGAAGAATCATATTATATTTGGGCAAGAAAACCACTTCAACATGACCTCGACTCAAGGAAATGCTGGTCGGAAGGCTGAATGGATAGACAAACTTGAGAGTACGCCCCACTTGAACTACAATTTCCTTGAAAGAATCGTCAATGTGCCGTATGGTTTATCGTTCGTGGGACTAATTCCAGACTGTATCTTCTCGCAGAGCATTGCAAAACTGCAGGCCTTGGAAACCCGGTGTACAGCTTGTTCTCCGATCGTCGAGGTAACTGAAGCCCTTCGCTCCTCTCCATTCTTTCTTCTCCCCCCCTCCACTTTCACTGGTTCTGATTGAGAGTATATTCTTTCTTTGCGTTGCATCTTCTCCATCCATTCCTCTTCCCGGAAATCTACCCCTGGGTGGACTGAATGGTGCCCAGTGTGTATCGGGGCATCATAATTGTGGAGTAACTTTTCCTTCACCGACTTTTAGACCTGAAAGCTTGTTGTACCAAGTGCTAACGGCTTTATGTCTTCAAACAGGGGGTCGGACAGCTTGGAGCGCCACCGTGAAGGTACAAGGGAGGGTATATGCCGCGCGGTTCTGGTACGATGGCAACTTCACAATTAACGCCAAACATGACGCTGCAGAGGTAGCTATCACGCTCCTTACCTACCAACAGCAACCTCAAGCTGGCTCCGAAGCTCTTCCCGGAAAGGTGTGGCCGTAGCAGACGAGCAGATACGGGAACATGGTTATGATAAGGTGGGATTCAATGGGCTCGACACGGTTGAGAACTACTTTCATTTCTCTGTCTGGTTTGCTTGGGCCGGATCGATTACTCGCCTTTCTCCCCTCCTCTCTTTTCTTTTTCATTTGTGGCCCCTATGACCGCGTACGACGACTTGATGCCCGACTCTTCGGGTTCCGCAGACGTCATGTACAACATTCTTGGCTGTCGACATTCTTCTTTGTGCAATATCCTGCAACAGCACTGGAACACATCGATGACTACGATGCTGAAGTGAGTGGACAATCGGAAAGCGAATATTTCCCGGTTGCCGCTCGCCGCAACTTCTTTCTACAGGACTACAGAACACCAGCCCCTGCCATATTTGCTCGGCTCTTTGTTTTTACACTCTCTATTACAAGCGGCCCGCTTATGCTTTTCTGTTCGACTTATCGAGCTTCTGTACAATTTTCTTTTATTTCGTTTCAGGTTCGCAAGGCATTCGCACTACCGAGACCTTGCTACGATATTATGACGACAGAACTGTGACGGACAATCCCGATACTCGAATTTTGTTTCACTGCGCACACTTTGAATCCTTGCTGTCAAAACTTTTGGCTTTTGTTATGATTCCAGCGCCTGTGTATGTTTCTTGTGATAGTCATACCTAGACAGGTCCTGCCATTTGCTCCTTGTGTACGCGGGTCTAGCCGAACTGGATTCCACCGGCACCGAACGGGCCAGGGATTACAATTCTTGCTCGTGCGAATTGGCCCTCTAGGAGGGAATGATCTCGTCTCTCTGCTGCGTGCCAGTTCTGAGCCATCAAAGTAGACAGTAGGATCGCCTTTTTCTGTTTTTCCCACCCACTTTCTGTTCCCAAGTTGCCCCACCTTTTTGAACTTTCCACGTCCGTTGGGGAGTTGGGGACTTTTCTTAAAAGGGCTCTTTTTATGCACTAATAGTGCGGGTTTCGTTGTCCAGCTGGAAATCACGGTGTTAAATAAAGTACGGTTACAGTGTTCCGTATCCTTGGTTGCACCATGTCACGTCTTGAGCTTAACCTTAAATTTTCCGACTGAGCGTTCGGCGTTCACGTGCTGACGGATAATCGATTCCGCTCGTGTGCTAACTGGTCATGACCAGCCTCGGCTACGGGGAACACTATGGGTATATTTTTCCTCTTCGACTCTGCGAGGTGTTCGCTTCATTACAAGGTCGCAGATGATATTTCGCCAAAACTGTCTAGAAAAGAAAAAGGGGAAATAAGATCAACATGAACCCGGAACCATCAATAAGCAAATCTTCTCCCGCTTGCTCTGTCTCTACGGTTCAACCACCCGTAATAGCATCGGAGCATGATGCACCCCGCACAAACAAACAGGAGTAACCCAGCATTAGTCCAGTGGCCCGTTGGGTATCCCCTCTTTGCTTCGTTGGCTTTGTAAATCCACACGCCAACAATTTGGCCCGGGGCGCCGAAGGACACGTTCAGGGCTATTGCTAGTCCGGTGCCGGCTGTGGAGCGGAGGTTGGAGGAGAGCCAGCCCAGAAGCGGGGGGATGCAGGCGAAGGCGCCGCTGGTGGCGACGATGAGGCAGCCGTAGCGGTGCTGGTTCACTGATGTTAGTGGATTTCCTGTAGGGTCTGCCAAGGGAAGGGTTGGAAAGGCGGGGGGAGGTACTATGTAAGCGTCTGGTGGGAGGACGGCGGATGCTAGGAAGCCCATGGCGCCAATGAAGGAGAAGACGGCGGAATGGAGACCACGGCTGGTGGTAGACTGTTAGTGTGCGTTTGTGGGGCATGGTGCTGAGGCGAGGGCTTGTACCTGTTGAAATGATCTGCGGACCAGGCTGCGGCTGTTGTCACGACATAGGCTACCGCCCATGGGGGCACTGTCATGAGCTGTGCGCGTAGGTTGGTATACCCAAGACCGCTGGTGATTGCGGGCGTAAAGAGAGAAAGACTGGAGAAGGGGGCGGATATGCCGAAATAGACCTGTTGAGAAGCATTAGTTATGGGGACAGTAGTGGGCTGAGAATGGGCAACAGGCAACAGACAGCATAGTGTGCGTACAGACGCCAATCTGTTAGCACGGCTTTGGCATCCTCCCGAGTCATGGCTTTGGCTGCTCCTTTGGAGCCTTCGGTTCGCAGTCGTTGAGCGGCGAGGTCTCTCTCTTCTTGTGTGAGCCAACGAGCTGATTCGGGGTAATCGGGAAGGAAGAACCAGACTAGAACGGCTGAAGCGCACGAGGGCGCTCCTTCGATGATGAATAGCCATCGCCATGCTGATAGTCCATGTACCTGGTTCATGTGGCCCACGCCGTATGCGATTGCACCGCCAAAGGCGCCAGCTAAGGTAGCGGATGCGAGGATCAAGGCCACGCGCATGGAGCGCTCGGAGTGCCGATACCAGAAAGTCAGGTAGTAGACCAGGCCAGGGAAGAGTCCCGCTTCCATTACTAACGGGTGTCAGTCATTCCGTAAACTTAATCCTTGGTCTTGAGAAAAGGTATACCTCCTAGCAGGAAACGCAGGCCGGTGACCTGAGCGAAGTTATGGGCTCCTCCCAAGCCCATTGTGCACGCGCCCCATGACAGCATCAGGAACGCAATCCATCTCTAGATTTCATAAGTTTCTCAATTCGAACGCAAGATTCTCATGGCATACACTCGGCCTAAGCTTCTTCAAAAAGTAGTTCGAAGGGACTTCGAACAGCGCATAAGCTATGAGGAATACCATAAGCGCAATCCTGCCACATATCAGTCCTACGCTTTAGCGTCTATTCGCACGAAACCTACGTGTATTGATACGAGGTCATCTTAGTCTCAGTGAGGAGGTCATTGTGCGTATTTTGGTTGAGGATTTTTGCATTTCCTATGCCGAGCAAGGTGAGGACTGGCCGAGCAAGAGTTAGATCCATGCTTACCAATGTTAGATCTATCTAGATAGCAGAGAAGATAGATCGATGCACATAGAGGAACAATGCGCAGGTCTTGTTTCCAGACCAGTGCTGTCTCCTGGCGACTGCGGTATGATGCGTCAAAGTGCTGCTCGTCGATGTCCTTATGGTTAACAGTTAGCAACGGCAGCTACAGGTCAAATTCATATTCGACTCCGCATACATCAGACGCAATCTCAACATCGCGAGCATCTTCCACGCTGGGGTTGGGTTTCGGCTCGTGCATTTTCGCGGAGGTTGACAACGGAAAATCCACGGGCGAAAATGAACAAGCTTTTGAGAATTAATTCTTCTTTTCACCATATTTATAGGCTTGGGTCTGTCAGCACCGGTTGGAGCCCCCCGCACAAGCGGGCTCCGCTTCTGGGGTAACCCCGTCCTGAAGAAAATGTGATTCCACGGTGTCGGTGAACCTCCGATGGTCAAGACCGAAGATGGTTAACCTCTCTTTTAGCACGTATTACAGTGATTGGCTGCTGTCAAACAGAAAAGGGCATCAGATCGGCAGGTGTCAGATCGGCAGGTGCGTATCGGCATTGCCGTTGACAGAACGGACTTTATGGGAGTCGCGAAGGGAAGATGAAGTGGTATCCAGCCTAGCACTTGCAACTGAACTTGGAAGCGATGTGACGCTTCAGTTGGGACGCTGCTATTCTTGCGCAATCTCGATTTGGCCGTCCTTACAGCGCAGGGGATCATGAGGAAGACGGCAGATTATCGCTCTTGGTACTGGCTCGATTCGCTTGAAGTGTGTAGTCAATTGGGCCACGTCAGGCGTCCTTTTTCAAGATTATGTGAGCTATACAGCTTACATCACTAAAGACCGCTCTCAGTCACTTTGTTTATCAGTTCTCTCACTTTCCTCTCTTCAAGGATAATGTGGATCTTGTCACTTGCGCAGGCTAACCAGTTGGCGCCGAAGGGTTTGACATCTACGTAGTGCGGTACACAACCTTGGGCAAGCATAGCTTTCGAGTCGGCGCATCATGAAGAAAATTTCGAATCCTTTCCCAGGCAATTCTTCTTCTTTGGACTCTGGCTGACGAAGCATAATATAATCCCCATGTAACTATCTTTGTTCAGAGAAGTATGTGAGAAAGCACTGATCAATCTGACTGGTCGAGGGAAAAGCGTCGAATTTTGCCCAGTTGGGTTAGCGCCAATCTTTATCTATCGATAATGATTGAATCGTGATTTTGTTGCATTTCTCTGCTGTTGTGCGTCAATTGTCTACCCTTTTTTTCTCAATGAAATGTCCTGCATATTATTCAAGCATTTATTTTTCTCATAGCATTTTAAGAAGTATAAACAGTCGTGCTGTGTCAAAACTATACGCCAATCCAGCTCTGCGCACCTCCCAGATTGCAAACATGGCGACAGAAGCTACCCCTCCACGCAGAAAGATGCCATCTGCATTGACTTTCGATCTGCATAAAAAGTGCTCGGTAAGTTCTCCTTACGCGTTACCTTTCAGGTATACTCGGCTTTGATCTAATCAGGAACCAAACGTAGACAACCAAAGCGCGCGCTAGCACCCTCCATCTCCCTCATGGCTCCGTTCCGCTTCCCATCTTTATGCCCGTTGCGACACAGGCGTCCCTCAAAGGACTCACGTATGACCAGCTGAAGCAGACAGGCTGCATGCTGTGCTTGAATAATACATATCATCTAGGCCTGAAACCGGGGCAGGAGGTTCTAGACGAAGTGGGCGGGGCGCATAAGCTGCAAGGATGGGATCGGAATATCCTGACAGATAGCGGCGGGTGAGCTATGTCTATCTTTTTCTCGACCTGACACTGACACCTGCAATATGTAGTTTCCAGATGGTTTCTCTACTGAAGCTCGCAAAGGTCACGGAGGAGGGTGTCCGATTCCTCAGTCCCCACGATGGAACCCCGATGTGTGTGTCCTTGCTCATTCGGAGGGGCAACAAATCCACTGACCAGGGGCCTTTCTAGGCTACTCACACCAGAACATTCGATTTCGTTGCAGAACTCGATCGGCTCGGATATCATCATGCAGCTGGACGACGTCATTGCAACTACCTCTCCCGACCATGCCAGAATCCAAGAGGCTATGGAACGGTCCGTTCGGTGGTTAGACCGCTGTATCGATGCGCACAAGTATCCCGAGAGACAAAACCTTTTCTGCATCATTCAAGGCGGTCTAGACCTAGAGCTACGGAAGCAGTGTTGCGCTGAGATGGTTGCGCGAGATACACCGGGTATTGCCATCGGAGGTCTATCAGGTGGTGAAGCAAAGGAGGAGTTTTGTAAAGTGTATGTGCTGGGGTGCATGCTGCAAGTACTACCTCGGCTGACGATTATAGGGTGGATACGTGCACTGGACTCCTTCCAGAGCACAAGCCCAGATACGTGATGGGAGTGGTAAGTATTAGCTTCCCCCGTCCGGAAGGCAGTCTCTTTTTTATTGACGCTGCTCAGGGTTATCCGGAAGATCTCGTTGTAGCAGTCGCCCTCGGTGCAGACATGTTCGATTGTGTGTGGCCAACGCGGACGGCGGTAGGGACAACCCCAGCAAATCGTTTGAACCCTAGTTGTGACTGACAATTGGTAGCGGTTCGGAAATGCTGTGGTTCCTTCCGGCTCCCTGAACCTTCGCCATAAGTCGTTTGCCGAGGACTTCCGACCTGTACAGGAAGGGTGCAGCTGTTCTTGTTGCCGGCCCAAAGAACAAGGCGGCTTGGGGATTACCCGAGCGTATCTCCACCACCTGGCTGCCAAAGAGACGGTTGGAGCTCATCTGTGAGATTTCCCTTCATATCCGAGCGATACTAGTGCTAATTTCTCAACAGCCTCACCATTCATAATGTTCACTACTTGCTTTCCCTTATGGGATCCGCTCGCCAAGCCATTTTGGAAGATCGATATCCAGCATTTCTGCGCGAGTTTTTCGACAATTTGTATGGGGATAAAGCGAAATTCCCTGAGTGGGCTGTCACTGCACTGCGGGGTGTTGGGGTGGACCTGCTGGCAGACTAGCATGCTTTCTGATAGAGCATCTTTATCTACATTGCATAACCTTAAGACGGGTGTCGAGCATCATTCGACACCCTGGTACAACTACCGGAGTTCTATAGTAATATGCCAAATTGGGAACCCAATGTAACTGTAGCCTGATAATCTGCTTATCACCACGTGATCTCGCGCGTCGCGTTTACGCGTTACTCAAAAAGTCATCCGCAATTTGGTAAAGCAATGTCGACAACGAAGCATCTCAATCACCATGACAGTTCAATCCAAAGGGCAAGCAGGCATCATGTCGCCGGCGGTTGTGACGCCGCAAGATACCCCCAGTCAGTCCGTCACACCGACGCCTCCTCATAACCCCACGCACGAGGAACATCAGTACCTCAATCTCATCCGCACTATCCTCGCCGAAGGCGAGCATCGTCCCGACCGCACAGGCACCGGCACTCGCTCGATCTTCGCACCACCACAGCTGCGCTTCTCGCTCTCCAAGCCTGGTGCTACACCCTCCTCTGACCCGATCCCCGTCCTCCCCCTCCTCACCACCAAACGCGTTTTCCTGCGCGCCGTTATCGCCGAGCTCCTCTGGTTCATCTCCGGATGCACCTCTTCCATCCCCCTCTCGGAAGCAGGCATCAAAATATGGGACGGTAACGGGAGCCGCGAGTTCCTGGACAAAGTCGGGCTCGGACACCGCGAAGTCGGCGATCTAGGCCCCGTGTATGGGTTCCAGTGGCGGCATTTCGGGGCGGAGTACGTCGACGCCAAGACAGATTACACGGGGCAGGGCGTCGACCAGCTCGCAGAGGTCGTGCGCAAGCTGAAAGAAACGCCCTTTGATCGGCGCATTATCATGAGTGCGTGGAATCCGGCGGATCTGAAGAAGATGGCTCTCCCGCCTTGCCATATGTTTGCGCAGTTCTATGTCTCGTATCCGAACGGCCTGGACCAGAAGGGGAGTCTGTCGTGTCTGCTGTACCAGCGTTCGTGCGATATGGGGCTCGGGGTGCCGTTCAACATTGCGTCGTATGCGCTGCTGACGCATATATTGGCCCATGCGACGGATCTGAACCCGGGTACACTGATTCATACCATGGGTGATGCGCATGTGTATCTGGACCATGTGGACGCGTTGAATGAACAGCTCAAACGGGAGCCTACTGAGTTCCCGGAACTGCGCATCAAGCGTGATGATCGCGGTAGTGGAGTTGTGGATGGTTGGAAGGAAGAGGAGTTTGAGGTCATTGGCTACCAGCCTCACAAGGCTATCAAGATGAACATGAGCGTTTGATCTCGTACAGGTTTTTATACAGTGTTTGATACCAGCATTTCTTATATAGCTTAGATTCTTGATTTGAATCAATAGACCCGTCTGTGGATGACATCTAAGGACGGCTGCAATACGCCGAGCTCAGGGAGACATGTAAAAAAGATATGCAAAACGCTCTTGGTGTATCGTATGCTAAATATGCAGTTCTAGATGGCAGAAAATCCAGAGGAAAAAGGAACGCAGCGGATCAATCCCTCACGACTTCCCCAGAACAACTCCCGCCCCTCTCAACAAGACAATAGTATGACCCTGCTTCACCTTCCCACCCCCAATCGTCTCCGGAAACTCCAAAAACTCCCCCGAATCCACATGGAAGATCCGCAACCGCTCCTCCTCCCCAGCCCGGTTATTCACGTTCTCAATCCGCAACCTCCGCGCCGCATCATCCAGCACCCGACCAACCTTCCACCTCGAATCAAACCAGAAATCCCCGGAGGGCGGCTCCGCCTTTTGCGCCTGCGCATCCGCCGTCCCAACCACATGCAGATACAGCCGCTTGTCAGCCGGGACGCTAGCATCGCCTTTGGCTGCTTTCTTCAGCGCATTCAGCTCCGAGATCCGCGCAGCCGCACTATTGGCCTTGGGCTTCGGCGCCAGCGCCTGTCCCTTGTCTTTCCCCCATGTACGCACCCGCGCGAACATCGACCGGATGGTCTCGGCATTGCTTGGGCCCTGGTTGCCTGCCCGACCCCCCAGCGGGGCGATCTTCGCGCAGTCATGCTCCTCCCGGAGCCGGTGTCGCAGACAATACTGTCTATTACAGTTTGGGCAGCGTACGCCGGGGTCTTTAAGAGTGTTTATGAGCGTCTTGCAGTCGAGATGTGCGCATTGGTCTGAATTGTAGATTGTGGGTTTCTGTGTGGGAAGGCTCGCTGTGCTGGTGTTCTGGGTGCCGTTGCGGCGGCG